GGTGGGTGGGTAAAATTAGACCCTCGGCGGGTGCGGAATAAAATTCAAAGTATCGGCTTTGCATTTGATCAGCGGCGGCGGCAGCGAATAAGGAAGCCCCGTATCCTGTTCCGTTCGCCGTGCCCGCGACGGGGCGAATCAATCCTCGAACTTCAAAGGAATCCCGCCGGCGCTCCGATCCTTCGGGATTCCCTGATACACGTGGGAGTCTTTAATCAGGGAACGAACCGGCGGCCCTCGTCGGCGCGTCGACCCCGCGGCGCTCGCTCCCGCGCCGTTGTCTTTGAGCCGCCACGGTGTGGCCGGCCTGTCGCGCGGCATATTAATTAATTCGCTAATTATTAAACTAATTGCCGGCTTAATTGGCTCGCGAGAGCAGCTACTCGAGCGCAAACGAACAGAAACCTGAGGAAAAGGTACCTTACGGACCGTTGTTAGTCGTGCCCGCTGTGATGTACATACGTACGTACCTTCGCTGTGGAACACGCGCGAATCGTCCCCCGGCCCCGAGAACCTGGCGAGCTTCCAGCGACAATCCGCGTCGGCTAACGCTGAGATTAGCGATCGGCTGTATTTCACCGAATCACCGTGCCGTCTGTAACGTATGATCGCAGAAAGAGAGTTAGCCCCGGCGAAATCAGCGAACGTAATTGAAGAAGCATTTCAACTTACAGCCCTAAGTGACAATCGACACACCTGCGAGGAATTGATCCGTAGGACAGATGAAATTTTCGCGAGAGAGAAAAGAGGGGGATATGTCGAGGCCAATCGCGTTATGTTAGGACGCAACTCGCGTTCATCGCTCACGTACTCGCTCTTTCGCGTGCTCGCGTATTCAAGGATCAACACACCGTACGGTATTTATACATCCGGAATGCAAAGCACGTCGCAGACGTTCGTATCCCAATACGTACTTTATTCAATGCGAAGCGCGAATACTTCGTATCAGAGGCACGCGCGAAAGAAGGCGCGTCGCGGTTTCGTCCCGGAGAGTTTGAACTCCGAAACTAACCGTGCACGGTAGCATGTCCTGCGGACTAGCAGGACAGGGTCAAAGGCGTCCGCGTGGTTCTATTGTGCTGCCGGTTAACTACTGCTTACTGCAACACAAAGCCCTGAAAAGCCGACGAATAATTTAAAAAGACTCGTTATTGTTCCGCGGGAGCGAATGGTCAAACCGCCGAGAAACCACTTGCTAACCAGACAAGAGGGAGCTCTCTCTCTCTCTCTCTCTTTCTCTTTCTCTCTGGGCGGAAAGGAAAAACGGTTGCGCTTACAGAGATAGGGAGTGGGAGAAGAAATACGGGCGAGCTTTCGTCGCGCTTGTGTGTATTAGTAAAAACTATCAGACTAGCATGCGCCATAAAAATAATTTGCAGTGAACGTCAAGACAGAGCGAAACAGATCCACGTATCGCGTGACGCAGCGAGTGAAGGTAAAATATCTGTTGAATATCAAGCTTTCAGCTCGATATATTGGTTTTTGCGGATTAGCTTGCTTAATAATAAAAAAAAAAGAAAAATATACAACAATGTTTAAAGCAATATAAAATGTCGACGCATTGTAAAACAGAGTGTTAGCAAAACAGCGTATTCGAAATAAATCAATAAACACGACGAGATATGTGTATGTGTGTGTATCAGCACGTTTGTGCGGCGGGAACGTTACGTGAGTAAAAAGAGATCACCACCGGCCGATTTTATCCTTCTAATTGTTCTCAAACATTTTCACCAACACGCGTTATCTCCGGATGAAGGTACATCACCGGCAAAAATCTAAATGGAACGGATCTCTATATTTTACAGCATCGATCACTAAGCCGGCGTGTTTTCCATAAAAAAAAAAATATGGAAATAATGATAAATTTAACATCAGTAATACATATTCGAGGTGAACGCAGATATGTGCTGAATAATATATCGGCGATCCGTAACGGAGGTCTGGTTAGCCCTTCGAATGACACGATACGGTGATTGCCTTGACAGGTTTTTCCAATATCGTTGTATCGTTAATTCTTAATGGCGCCGACCATACAAAGAAAATTGGGAAAAAAAAGGGGAGCGGCCCATATACTTTTAAACTGGCTCGCGCGAGTATTCGTGCGATGAAAGAATACTCGGGGTAATTGCTTTGCTGAAATGATCAAAGACCGAAAGCAAACGGAATTGAAGTGTCAACAGTATCGCGATTCGCACGGAAAGCTGAAATGCTGTACCAAATTAATTCGATTACGCTATTAATTCGAATAATAGTGCACAGTAAAGATATTCGGCGAATTGGTTTTCAGGCAACCACACTCGTGGCTTTTTCGCCGTCGTATCCGGCCGCGAATTACGCACAAATTTATTATTACCGTTACGCGTCCCGTTATTATTTAATTTGTGAAATTCTCTGCAGACTTTTCATGAATTTTACAACTGTTTTCGCCACGAAAGAGTAGGCAACGCGTGAATTTTTCATCGTTACTCTGAAGGGGCCACACGCTATCATAATTGGCTCTCGCGGCCACTTTAAATTTCAACCCGCTTTGGAGCACTCGATTGCGTCCGGTTGATCGAATATTTTTAATTACCACCGTATTTGTACCGATCGTCCTGCGGATGCACGATAAATAAATTAATGCGCGCACGTCAACGATCACGAAGCCATTTCCCGCCGGGATCTCCATTGCGCGGCCGAAATTTCTCGCTAATAACCCATGTTTTCCCGGAATCCAGTTCCGAGCGCCGAATTTTCAACGTCAGTTTTTATCATCGTCGGCCGGCCGTTGTAACCGTTTGAATTGTGCCCGAAATCGCGGCTGCTCGTTCTGATTGATGATATGAATAAGCAACGCGCACTGGGACCGATAAATGCGAAACTCTAGCTTTGCTCACTCTCTCCCTTTCGAAGGAAAATCTGTCAGGAAAAAAATGTTCATTCTGCAACTTTGACATTTATCCAATTATCAAGAGCCCCGAAATAACCTACTTCTATCTCATCTGCTAATCCCGAAGTAACCTACTTCTAATTGTATATACGAAGAAGAAAAATCTGTTGAATCAATAAAATTCCCCAGTGCGATTAGAATAAATCTGCTTGATCCAATGGCAAACATCATTAAAACTATGTTACATATTGTTTTAATAATTGAAATATTAATATTACTTAATGTTCAATTTAATAGTTTCAATGATGTCACCATTGAATCCAAAGGTCCCGCTTCAATCTTGCGTGCTGTTGAAAATACTGACTCAGTAGAATTTTTTTCTCCGTGCATATTCATTTAACAGAGCTTTTAAGTGAATACATTATTTAAAAAGCACGGCTTTGCATCATTAATTGCGCCAAATGATGAAACCTTTTTTATGATACAGCTGCAGCGCTGCAGCTACTAAGACTGGAGATGCCCAGCATCGTTGATCCAAGATGGGAGAAGGTGTCGCTGAAATGCGTGTACGATCTCCACGGCCAAGAGCTGTATTCCGTCAAGTGGTTCAAAGACGGCACCGAATTCTTCAGATTCATGCCGGGATCGATACCGGCTGGGAGAGACTACAATGTCAAAGGCATATTCGTCGACGTCAAGCAGAGTGACAACAAGCAAGTGACACTTCTGGGTCAAGCGTCCGCGGACCGACGAGGTACGCGACGTCAATTTACAAACGCGAATTACAGAACATCATACGTCCTCGCGCGCGCGTTTACCTCTCTCTCTCTCTCTCTCTCTCTTGTATTAAAAACGAATTTCTCTTTCTCCCTGTCTCTCTCATTCGCGCGAGAGAGAAGGAGAGCGCGTGTATTTTCAATTTGCCTTCATAGAAAATTCTGGTTTGTAATACAAAGGTCGAAGTTAAATTCGAAAGGTCAAAATGGACGGTTCGGTTCTCTCGGGGAGATAATTGCGTTTCATTGTCGTTCGTCGAGATTCACATGTCACTGTTGAAATTCACGAGAAATACAAGAAGAGATTCATTTCTATCATTTCACATATATATCCCCCGTTTTCGCTGATTTGATGCCGCAGATGAGGAAGTCAACCTGGCGGGCACATACGGCTGCGAGGTGTCGTCTGAAGCGCCGAACTTTTACACTGACTATAACGAGGCGAATATGAGCGTGGCTGTACCACCCAAGACTGCTCCGGCGCTCGAAGGGGTCCGACCTTCTTACGAGGTCGGAGAGATCCTCGAAGCGGAATGCACGTCGGGGTTGAGCTACCCTCCGGCAGTTTTAACGTTCATCTTGAATGGTAAAGAGGTGAGTTGATGATGTTCGCGAGAGAACGAGCAAGCGAGCAAAGCGAGCGTTCCGCCAGTTAAACTTTCGAGAGCTCGCATGAGCGACCCAAGTGATAGCGTGACTCGTATGATGGCTTCCTGATATTCTGAATATCACACGCGGGACGCGCTGCATTTATAATCTTTCACACGCTCGGAAAGAAATTGCATCAATCGGCGTCGCTCGGCGATTTTTTAACGTGAGATTTCTTTGTGACTGCGTCGCCGGTAAATACTTCGTCGGAATTGAATTTGCGCAATTACTTGAGTGTATAATAAGGGTACTTATCCTCTTCAAACGCTTAAAAGGATTGTCAATTGGCGGCCCTCTGCGATTTTTCATCCATTTCTTCTTCACGATCTCCGGTAAATATTTCGTTAAAGTGAAATTCACGCGGGATTGAACGAAGAATGCAAGGATTTGTGCTTTTATGCGCTTAAAACAATTGTCGATCGGCTTCGCAATTTATAGCGCGACATTTTTTTGTAATTACACTTCCGGCAAATGTATCGTTAAAGTAAAATTCGCGCGAGGCTTAATGTGAATAAGGAGTGATTTATAAGTTATATATTATTTATGATTTATAAGACACATGGATACATATATATGCCGCTGGTATCATTATCAGTGCAATATTGCGCTCGAAATTGGTCGAAACGCGGTCCCTGAAATATTATCCGGCGACTTTAAGATACTGTGCGCAGCGATAGCTGATATGAATGGAGCGAAAATTTCGTAATTAATCGTGCGGTGTAATTCATCTTCAAAAAGCTCGCTTTCGCGCTGTTACGCGAACATGGCGAAACTGGAAACCACATAACTCCCATTATTCAATGCTACGCCGCGCACGTCATTCGCGCGAAGGGAGAAGGCACTACTCGGTTTATTCAACGACAATTTGTCAAGCGAGACCGCTTCGCGTGGGCGTTTTTATTTCGTTCGCCGGCCACACGTTCGGGTCTCAACAAATACAGATGTACAGATGTACCGCAAATTAACTTCTCGAGAATAAACTCGCGAGAACGCGCGAGTCGCATTCGCGAGTACGACGGGCGATCGCGCTGTTATCGCGCCGATAAAAGTCGCGGATCAAAAAGAGAAGAAGATTAACAAAGGAACGCGACATTCTAGGGCCGTCCAGCCGTTTCTCAAGAATTGCGAGCCGAACTACGGATCTTTTCTCTCGCAATTAGATTAGATCAGATTACGATATAACTACGAGAGAAGAGATACACTTCCCTTGAACATACGATATTTCCCTCCCACATTTCGATATATTAAATATACCCGTATAATGAAATCTGAACGTTACCGAAGCACACGTTGCGAAACACTCGATAATTCGTGCTCTTCGATTCTAACACCCAGCTCTCTTTGCGTGGGCTCTCCAAGACTCTGGTTTTCGACAGGTGACCAGAGCTTTAACCAAAACCTTGCCGATGAGCGGCAACATAGACGGAAGCGTGGTCTCCACGACGAGACTGGGCCTGACAGTGCGCCTGGAACGACAGCACTTTCCTGGCGGCACCCTCAGCTTGACCTGCCAATCCGCGCTACCGGACATTGCGAATGTCCAAGTGCTCAAGACGATCGAGATCGCCACTCTGGCTGCCAGTAACCAGCGGCTCGCCCAGGAACCCCCGAAGTCGGGTTCGTGGCCGAGCGTGGGCCTCTACCCGGGCCTGATCTGCTGGACGACGCTGGTGATTCACACATCGTACGTCATGACGCTTTAAGATTTCTCTAATATATCACGCACTGCCGCGCAGTACTGCGGTCGGCGGTTCCGCGATCGATGGCATCCGGATTCGCGACTCGTCAGCGATTGCGACGTATCTTTGAAATTCGCGCTATGTTTAATGCAACGCTGCATACGTCTCCACCTGTCAGCCCTCGTCAACGGGGAAGTGTCGCGGTGTCGACGATCGTCATCGGCTTCTATCTCTCTCTGCGTGTTAACCGACGATCGCGCGATATGCACGCGGTCCTCAGGGTACCCGCGGCGCCTGAGCTCCGCGTTCGGTGTCCCGAATCTTCGCGTACCCCGTACACGTTCACTCGCATGTATACACAGTGTTAGAACACCCCGTATAACGTAGCGGATAATTCGGAGGTACGACGATAGCAATACAACACTACTACGTAAAGTAGGTCGAAACGCGGACGCACGGCGTTGTACATAGTGTATAATTGTGGATTAGCGTTACGAGTTATCGTGTATAATGAACGCGATGAAGGCGATACGGTGAGTAGGAGGGAGGGAGGACGACGGAGGGGGAAATACGATGAAAGTAAGAGAGATGAGATGTAACGAGAGAGGCGAGCTGTTAATCGGCATTCGCGAGGAGAGCGGCGCGGCTGAGAAGGCCGCGAGCCGAAATATCTATCATTAATAAAATCAGACCAGAAGTATATAGTTTAATAAATATAGATGTGTGTGCGAGCCGCGATCCCCATTAGGCGTGCGGCTCGACGTCGACGTATATATAGTGTATAATTGTATGGTTAATTCGACTATATTTTCCACATCCGATCTTCCTCGACGGTGGGCGAGATTCTACGTATGCGTAAAGGATATGTGACGCCTTTGTTCCACTGTAATTTTACATGAATCCAAGTCTCGTCGTTATCATCGAAGCGACTGCAGTAATAAAAATGATGATTTAATCAAGCCGACCGCAATGTCCTTCGTTAACCAGACACGCATCCCTCCGCGAGCGCGATCATCTCCGAGCGTCCTAGAGTAACGATTAATCGGGTCTATGGATTTGTTGGCTGCTCCCAGTGCAACGTGTAATTTCGCGATGTACCGTATTCGCAATTACGGTTCGTAGTCATCGTTGTCGTCGCAGTAAGTTACGGAGTGGGTTAATAAATGCAGAAAGGAGAATCAGGGAGAGAGAAAGAGATAGAGAGAGAGAGAGAAAGAAGCAATATGGCCATCCAGGATCCGATGGCTTCCTTTTGCCGGGAGAGCCGGTCACGAGCCGGTATACATAATTTGCGCAAGTAATAAAAGCCGACGAGATAAGAGCAGTTTAAGACGGCAAAGGGGAGCCGACTCGGAACGGGGTAAACAATAAAAGGAGAAATTAGCGAGAGGAGGATCCCCGGAGGGAAGCTCGCCGAGGAAGGGTTGGGCGGTCACATAAACCGCCTCGGATTCACCAAACGACTCCCCGTTCGCCCACCCTTCGATCCGATCTATCGGCACAACTCTATCCGCGAACCTCTCCTTCCTTCCTTCCTTCCTTCCTTCCTTGCTTCTCTCCTCTCGATTCGATTTCCAGATTAATTAAGGATCGCTGGTCTGAAAGGACGCTCTCGAGATCCTTTCAACGGGGTCGAGTGTCCGTTCGGGGTGCGGCGTAACGAGCGCCGATTCGAATCGGTTTCACGAGACACCGGGCCCGATAATGACATTTTCCGTCGGCTCAGGTAAGTCTATCTTACGACTCCATGCCAGGCCGAGAGTCGTCGCGCGCGGCTGCTTACGCGCGCGCGACCCCAGGAAATCCCCAATTTCGAAGCGCCCACGGTGAACACACGCGGGGAAAGCTTTCACGAGCGCCCTAAGCCCCCTTCGCGCCTTTTTCCAGCCGCGACTGAGAATTGCGAGGCGCCCGCCCGCCGGCCCGGCGTTTCGCTCGCGAAAGTCCGAAGATCCCTTCGAGAACGGGCAGGCGGAGCCTCCCTTTGAGCGAAGTTATTAGACGGCTGCCATCCCTCCCGGAGGAACTTTCGTTTCCCATTAATCTGTATTTGATTGAGCGTCGAATGAAATTTCCGTTGAAATACAGTCTACTCGGCTCTCGCAGCTGAGAGCCCGACGCCTCGTTGTCCATTTGTCTAGTCGCTATCAAGGCACACACATACACAGGCGGAGCGACATCCCGACAGTTTATAATTTAAAGTTATCGTTAACCAATTAATCATCCATGCCTGCCCTATTCGGATATCCGACGTCTCATCCGCTTGTGATTTATGACGTTTCTATGATTTAATAGTTCGCGAGAAGACACACAATTGATCCAATACGACCTACATAAACCTAACCGAGGACAATAGTCAGGCATCCGACTCGCGGCGCTGAATCGCAGACGAGGGCGACGTTAGGGGGCGGCTTTAGGGCGGCCGAAGTCGAAGGTAGAGCCACCATCACCCACCATTACCCACCCTACATTGTTTCACCGCCGTGCTGGCAGAAGTGGAGAAAGAACAGGAGGTAGCGAGCGCGACTATCGTACGTGCCCTCGTGCGAGAGCACGTACGATAGCTGCACGCCTCCGGCGGTGTGGCACGACGCCTCTGCGTGCGTGCGTGCGTGCGTGGACTCACGCACAGCGCGCCATGCATCCCGCAAGAGATGCCGGGAACTGATACGAAATCGATAGAACCTAGTTTCCGGCGACGCGACGTGTCGGCGTTACACCGTTCCAACAGCGGCATCAACCGGCGACGGGAACAACACCGCGCGATCTTCCAAGCGATTCGCGTATTTCACTCGAGTGTATTTTGAGTAGAAATAGGTAGGTAGATTTGCCGTCGTCGAAAAGAGAATCGACAGAGGTGCGAGCGAACATGACGAGTTCTCAAAGAGGGTTACGGGTTTCGCGCGATAGCACATTTCGCGCATCCGCGCACGACTCGCGAGAACCTTTGAAAAGTCCGCGCACGATCGTGGTGGCCGCAGAGAAGGGTAGAACGGCAGGGTAGATCGATGTGATGAATCGAAAGGAGTATGTGGTTCTACGCGCTGCTCTTGTCGGGACGAGTTTTCACCGAGCGAAGTTGATAAATTAAATACCCCGCGGAAGGCGCTCGCGAATTCCACGCGCCGTTAACGGAGAGATGTATCGGCGAATACCGATCTGTGCGGCCGCGGAAGATGGAGATTTTATTCAGGATCGAACGATTAGCGCGCTCGTGCGTGATGCGTAGGTAATATGCGCTTAGTCGGAGGGCCAGATGAAAGCAGATTCCCATTGGTCACGGAAAGTGAGAGGCAATCGCTCGGAATTAATGCCGCGCCTCGTATTTTCTTTCAGCCATTGCCCCGGCACTCCCGCGCGAATACAAATCACCAGTCGCGAATAATAACTGAGCGCTATTAACCGCGAGCGTTCGATACGAAGTATCGAGATTGAATAATTACTTTCAACCGCGAGTACAAAATAAATGAACAATCTAATTTACCGTGGCGGGATTCATTTGTATTACACGCCTGTTTTACGAAACAACTTTTATCGCTTCGCGAGAGCAATTATCGCGTTTAATCGAACATTTCGTAGCCCAATTAAATCGAAGATTAAAAATTACAAAGCGGATAAAGGCGATGCGTCGTGAAAGCTGAAGCTGTTGGGGAAGAATGCCGCAAAAGTACTTTTCTCTGCGATTTCGTGATTTCTCTCTCTCTCTCTCTCTCTCTCTCTCTCTCTCTCCCTTTTTCCCGCTCGCTTTCTCTTTTTTAAATTAACAATGTAAAATTTGGTCGTCCCGAAAATCTTTCTCAATTATAAAAGAAGGTTTTTCGGAAGTGTAATAACATCAGCTTTAAGCGCTTGCTCCTTCAATTACTATCTCATAATATTAATGTCAAATTTATCGAACCTACCGATCAGAGGTTTGCTTGCGACAAGTTCGAATCAATCACTGTAATACCCGCGTGGTCCCCTCTCGGTGACAAACTTGGGAAACGTGGCACGATTGGCAAACAGAAAGCCCGCATACTGATAAGGAATCATGACATTGACGGTACATTGCTCGTAAGCAATTCCCAAGCGGAGAACTCACCGCGGAAAATAGAGCCATTCTCAACAATCTTTCTTTTCCTGCTTCAACATGCGGGTGAAAATTTCTGACCGCGACAAAACTTTTCTAGTACGAATAATTGCCACTGCCGTTTTAATGACAATAAGCGACCGAGTAATCGCGTGCTTCGCATTGACGTTTCGGAAAATAATTCTCCGTTAAGGAATTATGTCCCTGGAACGTCGTGAGATTTTATAGGATTTTGGAATCTTTAGCCACGACTCCTGGAAGTGAATCGCAAAATTTTATCTTCGTTACATCGGGCTCCTTCGAGAGATCGCAAACCACTTAGCTGGAAAGGTTCTTTTTGGAAGATTCAGTACACAGTCCAATCTCTCTTAAAGTGGCGGTGGCCCGCCCCTGATGGAAGACTGCGATGGAGCAATTCCCGAAAAATTGTCAACGTAGAGAAATCCCAAGTTTTTGATTCACCGAGAACGGCACACCACGCGGGTCTATAAAAAATTTTATTAAACAGCCCAAACCACTCCCCCTGTCTACCTCTCTCTCTCTCTCTCTCTCTTTCTCTCTTTCTCTCCTCCGCTAAAAGGAACACGAAGTTTTAAGAAAGCTGGCAAGAGAAACCGCATTGGCTAGATTAAAGGAAAAACTTTACGATTATTCAACTTCACCATCCCGGCTTTTCGAGGCACTCCATTCTTTTCGCGAGCGCGATTGGCGAATTTGGAGCGTCGCATATTCATCCATTTGCGACCGGTCGCTCTGTTCGTGAACTAGGCTAAGTGAACTACATTAAGTAATGGACTGAACTACAGTGACACGCAAAGTACCCATATAGTTTACTTTACCGCTATTTCAGTAAGACATTTAATTACAACAGCGCTTAATACGGAAAATTAATAAGTTGCAACAAATTATGGCTTTCCGTGGAACTTTACGAGCCGAGAGTAGAACGCCCTTCTATATATGTTAAGCATAAGTAAGAAGAGAAAAAAAAAGGAACGCTACGATCGAAATCATCTAGTAAATTCTTTATAACGAAAATCAAACTGAAATTATTATTTGAACGGCGGAACGGTAGCGTCGTTATATATATTTCAAAACGGCTTCTATATAACCCATTCAGAAAGAACGACACGGCTTTCCGAGTTCTGACAAGCAACGGGAAGGCAAATCCGCGGAATCTGAATACGCAACTGGATTCCTGTCGGTAGTTTAAACCAACCTTCCGCGACCTTCGCTCTCTCGTTTCCTTCCTAGCGAAATATCTTCAGGTGGCTCGCTGTTATCCGGAGCAATATGAACGCAGTCACCGCGAAAATAGCAGAAAGAGGAGAGAGGAAAAGAGGGAGGAAAAAAGGAAGGGGGAGAGAGAGAGAAAGAGAGAGAGAGAGAAACCTGTCGACTTAGTTATTTATATCAAACCATTAAATCTCGTAGCCATTTAAATCAGCTTTCCTCGCTTCTTCTTGCTCCTTTTCGCCATTTTTAACCGTTGACTTCCCCATGTGGCTTCCTGTACCGTATATAATTTACGGGAATCCGCACGGTGTATATGCCACGTGCAAAAACAAATGTTAAAAGAAACGCGTTTAGCGTTTTTCAACATACTTTGAAACTTACCGAAAAAGAAAAGACAAACGAGAACGAAAAAGCACGTGTGTAAGAGGTACTTTAACGATGCTCATGTAAATTGGCGCATGACGAAAGTCACATTGCGCTCGAGCAGTCTCGAGAAATGTTTTTTAGGTGGGGTCTCTCCTTAAGAAGGATCCTGAGCGAGACCAGAAAGTACCGAAGTTTTCGAGTAATCGCGGTTATTACTGGAAGTGCAGTTGCAGAAGTTTCACGGTAAATA